ATGTACACAGCCTCCTGCCAATGTTTACGCGTTTTTGCATATATGCAAATTGCAGAAAGAAAATTGCTAACTCGGGTACCGGGAAAGCTAAAAAGCTGAAATTTTGGAGGAATTTTCCCTATCCAAGTACAACTCACATATTTCAAATTCAGCCCCAAACTATGCATGGTACTCATGTAAAGGCGTATGAAATTTTCTGCAGGAAAACTGCTAACTTGGCAACCAGAACAGCTGAAAGGCTGAAATTTTAGGTGGATGTCCCCTGTCCACGCGCGATTTAAAAATTTCCAATTCAGCTTTCCAGGCACGTAGAGTACCCAAGTACGAGCATGTGAAGGTTTTGGTTAGAAAATCGCTAACTCGGCAACTAGAAAAGCTGGAAAGTTGAAATTTTGCGGGGATGTCCCTGTCCAAGTACAACGTAGGTATTTCAAATTCAGCCTTGAGGCATGCGTGGTTCTAACGTACAAGCACTTAAAAGTCTTGACTAAAAAACCTCTCGCTGAACAACTAGGTTATTTTTAAAGGGCGACTGTTAGATCGAAATTGTACATTTACTTTGCAAAATTTATGGTGATTTATGTTAGTAACCGCAAAAGGTAGGTATAAAGCAACAGTCATTCATGCAGTTAATGACCTGAGCAATTCAAGTTCGGTGCAAAAACGCGTGGTCGCACGGGCCCACCCGGTGCGTCCCAGCCTGGGTTGTAGTTTGTATATGTGCAAAAACGTATAATGAATAAGAACAAATGAGGTCGGTTTGTGATAGCAAAGAGTTACAGGTCGAGCTCATCGCTGCATGCCGATAAAAATCGGCGAGCTATCTGGCGTGGTGGGTTGACCCGACAGCTCACAGGGTGATGAGGAGGGCCTGCAGGGGGTCAGGGTCAAATGTGCCCCTTCGTGGAGTAGAAATAGCAGCAACAGCAGTGAACCACCCTAAAGCGCAACATGGAAAGAAGCATAGAAGAATGCTGAGTTCACCGAAATGTGCAGAAAAGCGAGAGAAAAAAACGTCGAAATCAACATCGTTACGGTGAGCCGAACATCCAAAATGCCCTTTCATTGTTGTCTGGCAATTGGCCCCGCGCCAACACCACATCAGCGTCCCTGTTTTGGGACGGCTACTAAAATTCGGCAATTACTTGAATTCGACCATGTATTATGATTTCGCTGCAAAATGCACTCTCATTTCTCGCTGATGAGACATCACCGCTGTCACTCGACATCGTTTCTTCTGCAGCTTGGGTAGAGTTCCCCGAGAGCTG